CCTTGCACATACTGTTGCAGCCGACCAGAATTCAATTGTTGTGGCTTTGTTGGGGCGGAATAGATATCTTGGAAATTACAGCGCTAACCCGCCACAACGCACAACCAATGCAGCGACTGGCAGAAGATCCCCGGTGAAAAGGACCCGTTTGCCGCTAGGGGTGCCCTGGTCGGGGCTTGAATTAGATCCGCTCGGTTCCCATGTTGTAAGCACAATATCTTCATCCACTGGGATATGAAGTTCTTCGAGTGTAAGATACTGGCCTTTTGGGCAGTGATCACAGTCTCCTTAAAGACACAGACTTGTTAGTGGGTTGCACAGAAATGCTGCGTTCATTTCACCAGTGTTGAATGTTGAGCCTGTATCATTCTCTACAGCGGCAATACAAAGGTAATAATTGGCGCAGTGCACACAAACGCACACTTCCTGGTGTGGAATACATTTGACCCATCTAGGGCGCAAGGAATAAAGTTTCGTTAGCCCAACACCGGAATCAGGACACTTGTCTTTGTATACACCAAAGGCCTCTCGGATTGAGCGTGTCAGGAAGCGCTTTGGCACAAACATTTTCTCCCCGTCGAGCTAGCATGACAGAGATCACGTCCTTCTGGTAGGGACCTTGGCACAAACATTGGAGCTCGTCTTTCGTGAAGTACTCTAGGGCCGCAGACATGTTATCAGGGCTCACCTTGCACCTCGTGAAAGGACCCGGCTCGTATTACAAGCTACACTTTTCCTTATCTAGAGCGTAAACACTCTCGCCATGTTAACCTTTCCTAGGTTAACATAGCAACGGTGTATGCGCACTATTGTGTTTACGCGGGGCTCTAGTATTTAAGGGTTTATTCAGAATATTCAGAATACCTCGCATCACCTTACAAAGGCATTATTGCAAGGGAGGGGTACAAATACATTTGAGCAAAAGTACAAAAAGCGCAAGGCCGAACATGAGACAATAATATCAATTATTTTTAAGTTTATGAAGCATCACTTAACACATGCCGCTGTCTGTCAGTGTGCCTCTTTGTGCATGATATTATCGCCCGTGACGCCAGCGACTGGGATGGCGACAGGCACGACTGCTCAGTAAACAGGCATCAGCAGCCATATTTTGCTGGTTGAAGCAAACCCCCTCATCCTTGACAGCGAGCGGGGAAATGCGAAAAAAGATTGAATCGGCTGTTTTGCCAGAACTAGCAACGAGGGTCGTCTGCTACACTTCCATTAACTATTGCGCCATAATCGTGATCTTCGCGAGGAAATGATTGTTGCTATCCACAGAACACTGTCATGCAGAAAGGTAATGCTTGAATATGTTTTCATTCTAGATGTAAGTCAGGGATATATATGAGAGAGAAAGATGGAGATAGAGGAAAAGAGAGAGGAGCATATAGTGTTGTCAGAAAATAAAGTAAACAAAGTTCCCAGTGGCCGATGGCTGCAGGATCTTTTCTCGAATCACTAGCTCGTCATATGATAGCTCTTTGTAGACAGTAGTTTCTCTTCACTTTTACTGTGTCAACGATTGCTATATTTATCGATGGCCTCATCTGAATAAAAATATCTAAAAGATGTGTTAGTTTCATGAAACAGGAACTCAGAGTCACTTCCCGTAGAGGGCACTGCTAAGTGTAGGCTTTGAAAAAAAAACCTTCTTTGGGGAGTTGTCTTTTTTCTCAATAAAATAATGCAACATGTTTTTAATAAAAATGAATGCCGAAATAGAGTATGACAGGTTACCCAAATTTAAAAAAAATCAAAGGTGGCGTTTTTTTTTATTTGCATCGGTATTTTTTGTTGTTAAATATTTTTCCCTGTGTTTGCCTAAATATATACCGACCATCGTATCACTCAGATACCTTATATATTTTTTAAAGTAATAGCCATAAATAAGTAGAATACTATCTGAAAAGTATGTGATAATGATTAAATTATTTTATGAGATACAAGCCTCCAAATTTTGCCATTTGTTGTACGAGCAGGCATGTCTGGCAATTTTTTGAAAACAAAATATAATATAAAATATAATTGTTATATATTACAAGCAAGCGGTACCCATAGCTTGTTTCTAAAAAGTATTAGAATTCTGCTAATTTTATCGTTTTAGTTGTTCACTTTCAAACATGCCACTCCATCAGTGCGCGTAAATACAACTTTCCACTTCATGCCTTCTAATTTTTACTATCCTCAAATTTTTTTTTTCCGGTCAAAACTTGGTTTAGATTTGCTCATACCAGACACTAGACAATAGCATATAAAAGCATCAGTTGATTTAAAAATGTTGACCAGCCACCCTTTGGTCGATCTTATCTGAAATCACCCTAGAAAAGTGGCTGTGGCTTTGCTATGGCCGGTCAAAGTCTAGATCAGCTCTTGTACAGACTCCTAGAGGTCTACTAATTCTGAGATCCTCAGCCAGGGAGGCGTCCTCAGTAGAGTCCAAATAGAGTTCCTGTACATGCTCCCTACGGGAGCCAGAGTTGCGCATTTGTCTTCCATGTGCCGCCCCGCCGCTACTCATCGAGATTGATCACATGAGAAGCAAAGAATCCTGCGCGATGCAGAAAAGTCAGTTCGCCAATGTGTCACACCTGCACGTGTGACAGGAAGCAAGAAACAGACTGCTTTTGCCTCCTCCTCCTTTCTTGTTTTCCAAGCCCGGTTGTGTGTGCGGCACCGCTATTCACCGAATTCAGTCATGTGACCAGCTGCAATCGACGTAGCGCGGCTCCTACACGCAGAAGTTGCTTTCCCGCATAACTTAAACTTTTAAGATGGCTGAACACACAACTCTGGCTCCCGTAAGGAGCATATAGAGGGAGAGTTCCAATCCCAAGAAAAGGTGTGCATGTTGATAAGGGTTAGGCTTAGAGTAGACAAATGCGGCAAATTGGGAATTTTAAGGGAGGTTCATGGCAGTGGTGAGTGAATGTTGGGAAAGTTAGGTGTTAATTTCCTATACATGATATGCCGGGCACTTCTGGCCACCTTGACAGGGGCTGAAACTCCTCTGTGGTGCAGGTATTCGTTGCATGCTTTTAAGAGGCAAAGTTTTTTTGTTTTGTAATTTAATCGGTGTTGTATTGTGTTCTGTGTGCCCGGTGACTTCGAAGATGCCAAAGTGTTGTGTGTTCGACTGCATGGCTTTGATTCGAGAGACCTCCGTGAAATAAAAGACGCCGCAGGGCCTTGTTTTATTCCACAAAGATCCCAAAGCGGAATTTGAAGTTCCTTCATGATCCGCACCAGTGCAGTGACGTCGAAGATAGAGTCGTCCTGCAACTTGAGTTTCCCTCACTCCTCCGAATAATCCCGACCCGAAATGCCGTGTTCGCCCGTATCTGGCAACCAAACGATCTCCTCCGTGTCTACGCCAGCCCCCCATTGTTGTGAGCAGACGACGCTTCACTTTCGAGTTTGAGAACCTTTTACATACCTGCCAACTCTTCCGAATTTTTCGTAAAATGTATGAATTCGGACTAATTATACGATTTTACGAAACTTGCTTCAAATCTTACAAAAAATATATTTAATTTTTTTTTGTTGATGCTTTTGTAACTCCGTTGTTGGCGGTATCTTGCACCGCCACAAGAGGACGATAGGTACCGTCCACAGCAACTCGTGGTTTTTACTATCCGTTTATCCGGTGGCCACTCATCGAAAACCAATCCAAAGCTCAAAGCCTTTGTTCGTGTGTTCGGCGGTGCACGGGTTCACGTTGGTCCGGTGTGTTCACACGTTGTTGGGCCTTGTTGTTTCAACCAGTTTCGAGGCGAGAAGTACGGCGTCTGTGTTTGTTGCACGTGTAACTGTAGCATTCTCCTGGTCACTGTGGCTTCGCGGCGCAATGCCGAACTCCAAACCTCAAAAGAGGTACTTTCAGGTGTTCCTGACATTTACACGTCGAAATTTCCGTGCTTCGTGCCGCCCAAAAAGCGAGAGAAGTTTGGATTCTGTAGCACGTGCACGTGTGATGTAAGCGTTTCGCACGCTGGCCCAGGCTGATCCCCGCCGCCGCGGCCTCTGGACTTTTACGAATTTGAAAGTCCACAGGTTGGCAGGTTTGCTTTTAGGACCCTTTCAACGATCTAAGTAGTTAGAAACGGTGCAAGGTCAAAGAGAATGCGCAGTAGACTTTTGTAAGCGACGTGAAGGACCGCGTCATGCCCGTTCTGCATGAAAGGCTGCCCCGGTTGAGTCGCAACCGAAGTTATCGTAAACAAACACCAAACGCAGTTTTCACCGTTTTACAATTTCCTTTTCGAAGTCAGGGGTAGTCGGGCACTGAAGAGCACGTTCATGCTTCTCCTAACCTCCTCTCTCGCTTGAAGCACCTTGCCACTAGGGGCGCTCGTATTTACTGCTCCCCATGGGCACCATCAACACCATGCAGGCCCAACTGGCCGTGCTGGCTTCGTGGAGCCGCGGGGCGAGATCGTTTGTTTGGACGAAAATGTATAAAAGAGCATGGGCTTGGGGGTTACATGGAGGATATTTAAGTAAGGATGAATATTAGTTGTATACTGCTTGCAAGGCACTATACTTTGTTTACTGTAATCAAAGTCGTTGGCCAATTAGAAGACATTATACCTAACAGTCTCCAGAAATATTGTTTTTGTTGCACTCTTTAAATAGTGAGGCATCCAGCCCCCCAAAGTATTCGGATCCATATTTTCAATCTTCAAGACTAAAACTTTCTTGTGACAAAAAAAGAAGAAAATTCTGAGAAGACATGAATACTTTTCAAAGCAAGAAGACAAAATGTGATTTAAAAATTATAATAAAGTGTATACAATTTTTTTTCACTTTTCAATACTGGGGACTTCCTTAATGGTGCCAGTCCCATTTGAGTGCTTTCGTAAATCGAATTTCAATGTGCAGCAAAATATTGAACTGTACAGCTGCAGCAAAACTGCATTAATGACTACACTTTTCCAAACAAAGTGGCTATCTTGGTTTGACTTTCTTTGTGTATCAATAGATGTGGTATTTTCTTCTAGGTGATAGAGCCACACTGTTGGGTGAGACCAGCTGCCCATTGAAAGTCACCGAGGACATCTTGTTTGTGTGCTGTTCCTGCACCTATGTCACCAGAGATCAGCGTGTAATTGTGAGCCACCTGACTGCCCATGGTGATGAACAATCCAAGTGCCAGCATCCTTCCATGTCTGGCTCTAAGTCCCAAGTGCTTGGCAACATTCAAAAGCACAAGGGTGAAAAGCCATTTAAGTGCAAGCTCTGCCCCCGAGAGTTTGCTTATAACTCCCTTCTGACCTGTCATTATCGAACACACACTGGTGAAAAGCCATTTAAGTGCATGGAATGCCCCAAAGCCTTTGCTCTAAATTCCCATCTGCAAAGCCATAATCGAACACACACTGGTGAAAAGCCATTTAAGTGCAAGCAGTGCCCCCAAGCCTTTGCTGATAATTCGTGTCTGAGAATTCATAATCGAACTCACACTGGTGAAAAGCCATTCAAGTGCAAGCAGTGCCCCAAAGCCTTTACTCAGAGTAGCCACCTGGTCCGTCACAATCAAACACACACAGGTGAAAAGCCATTTAAGTGCAAGCTCTGCCCCCGAGAGTTTGCTTATAATTTCCTTCTGACCTGTCATTATCAAACACACACTGGTGAAAAGCCGTTTAAGTGCATGCTATGCCCCAAAGCCTTTTCTCAAAATTCCAGTCTGCAAAGCCATAATCGAACTCACACTAAAAAAAAATTGTTTAAGTGCAAGCTTTGCCCCAAAGCCTTTACTCAGAGTAAAAATCTGATCTACCACAATCGAACACACACGGGTGAAAAGCCATTTAAGTGCAAGCTTTGCCCCAAAGAGTTTGCTCGTAATTCCCTTCTGACCTACCATAATCGTTTGCACACTGGTGAAAAGCCATTTAAGTGCATGCAATGCCCCAAAGCCTTTGCTCTAAATTCCCATCTGCAAAGCCATAATCGAACGCACACTGGCGAAAAGCCATTTAAGTGCAAGCAATGCCCCCAGGCCTTTGCCCAAAATTGTCATCTGCAAGCCCATAATCGAATGCACACTGGTGAAAAGCCATTTAAGTGCATGCAATGCCCCAAAGCCTTTGCTCTAAATTCCCGTCTGCAAAACCATAATCGAACACACACTGGTGAAAAGCCATTTAAGTGCAAGCAGTGCCCCCAGGCCTTTGCTCACAATTGTCATTTGCAAACCCATAACCGAATGCATTGTGGTGAAAGGCCATTTAAATGCAAGCAGTGCCCCCAAGCCTTTGCTAATAATTCGTGTCTGAGAATTCATAATCGAACTCACACTGGTGAAAAGCCATTCAAGTGCAAGCAGTGCCCCAAAGCCTTTACTCAGAGTAGCCACCTGGTCCGTCACAATCGAACACACACAGGTGAAAAGCCATTTAAGTGCAAGCAATGCCCCAAAGCCTTTACTCAAAATTGTTATCTCAGGCGCCATTATCAAACACACACTGGTGAAAAACCATTTAAGTGTGAACAGTGCCCCCAAGCCTTTGCTCGAAATTCCCTTCTACGAAGCCATAATTATTTGCACATTGCTGAAAAGCTATTGAAGTGCAAGCAGGGCCCCTTAGCCTTTTTTGAAAATTCCTCTGCAAAGCCATAATCGAATGCACACAGGTGAAAAGCCATTTAAGTGTAAGCAGTGCCCCCAAAGCTTTTCTGATAATACCAGTCTGACCCGTCATCATCGAAAACTGTTGAAGAGAATCGAGGGTCTTTAACTTTTTTTTTACTGTGCTGAAATTTTCTATATTGATGTACTTCTCAGTGGTGATTTCAAATATGCAATTAGTTTTCAGATAGCCTTAATAGATCCTGAGTTATCAATAAATTTGCAATTTTAATTAGGCCCTTGTTACGGGTCGTTAGCGTAAATTTCTTCGAAATATATCGTAAATATTTATAGAATTTCATTAACTCACATGCTTTGTGTAGTGATGCTATTTTTGTTGCTTTATAAGTCATACAATAATTCTAATTAATTAGTCCCACAGTCTTAGTCACTTTTAACCCATATGAAGAACCTAATAAAAATTTCATATTTATTGATAACTCAGAATCTACTAAAGCTATCTGAAAACTAGTTGCATATTTGAAATCACTAGTTAGAAATACACCAGTATTGTAAATTTCAGCACGATAAATGAAAAATAAAAAAGTGAGATTTTCGTCCCCCCTTTAAAACCTTACAAGTGCAAACAATCCCCCGAAAGCTTTGCTCAGTATAGTTTATCCGCCAGAACCAAATGCATATGTGCAGAATGCCTTGCGGATCATCGTAAGTTGAGCCTGGCCAGTGTGTGATCATTTCACTCAAGGAAAACTTTGACTTTTCATTAAAAGCATGTATATACCGAAGTGCAAGATAGGTCCCAAGGCCCTTGTTCAGATTAATAGTGAAACTCTCCGGACTGAAGCACTTCTGCATATTAAAGGAGCTGTGTAACTATTAATGCTGCTTTGCTTAAATAAATTAGAAGTTGGTGTCTCAACCTTTTTGAAGTAAAGAAGAAAAAAACGCTTTTGCCTGCGTTTCCTAGTTCTTATTTTAAGAAATGAAAGATGTTTACAACTCCTTGTAACCCCAAGAGCGCAGCTCTTGAAGAGGTGGAGGAGGAAACAGAGGAGGGTGTACCCCTCCTCTCCTCCTCTGCTCCTCCCCTCCTTTCCTGCTCCTCCGCCTCTCTTGAGGTATTTCGATTTTGCAATATACCGTACTATACAATCTGATACATATATAAATTGTGTTGTTCTCGCTGACTGCTTGTCCAGAGAAAGGAAATATAGTTCTCACATCTGGAAGGTCTACTCTCTCCAAGTCCTGCCAATGACAGGAAACAGTACAGCAGGAGAAGCGTTAGAATCAACACTTTGAAGAGACACGTGATACCGTATTTACACGATTGTAAGTCGACCCCCCACCCCCACAATGCACATCAGCAAAAAAAAAAAAAAATCTTTTAGATGCGCATTTTATTGCGAACACTTGAGAACGGCAAAGTATCTGTTTCGAAAGCCGAGCTTTCAACACGTGATCGATGCCTTCTGGCGTGCTTTGGCTGCGCATGTACGCGTGAGGTGCATGATATGCTAGGCATTATCGAAACTAGGAACTTCACGCTGGAGGCGGGACGACTGAAGTTGCTCACTCTCGTTCTCCCTCCATCCGCGACTAGACTACCACTCGTCCGCACTGTTGATGTCAGTCCCATCATCGTCACTGCTACACTCTCAAAGCACGTCGTCGGCGTCGTCCAACGAAATCTCGCACCTCACAAATGACAGGATCAATCGCATCTTCCACGCTTGCTCGGCGATCGCGTTGGATGTCACAGGTAGGGGCTGATTGCACACTTTTGTGGCGTACGTTGCAAGCCTAACCTCCAACTCCGGAAGGCACCCTTACCTATCCTGACTTTGGCCTACGAAAGCCTCTTCGTTTGCCGTCACAGGTTAAGGTCCCGCGCCACTGCATACTCCACTGGAGCATCACCCGCTCCAACGGGTAGAATTTGCGTCCAACAGCGCAGTGACTGGTTGCTTCTGAGTGAAGAATGGCCATAAACAAGCACCGAAACACTAAACTGCCCGGATCACGTGTGTCAATACAAAATAAACATAGTTAGCGCTCCAGCATGATCTCGTCACTCAATCAAACAATGAGCGACTGTGAATTGTGCGAAAAACTTCGAAGAGAAGCCGCGGGGTTAGTGAGCCGTGAGGCTGTTCCAGCGGCTTCTGGAGTGGCTCTTACAAGAAGTGCCGCCAGCCCCCGGGAGTCAAGCGCCCGTGCGCTGTTCACCGCCGTATGTTCGGGTTAATTTGCGAATCACTATCAATAATACTCGCTTGTGCAATTAAAAAAATAATTAATTTGTAAAATAAGCATACAGAATAGTGCAATGCTAGAAGTACAGCCGGCTGCACTTGTAAGAAGCCGAGGTGTTCATGATATTGCAATTGTTTCGTTTTTGCCGGCAGTGGAATGCTATAGTTCGATTAAAAGTCAACCCCCCCACTTCAGATTTTAAAAAATTGGAAAAAGGGTCGACCTACATTCCTGTAAATGCGGTACTCTCAATGTCATCCTACTTGCTCTCGGCTCTGTCAAAGACTGATCGGCGTATTTGATTTCCTCAGGGTTAGTCTTAGACGTGCTCCCCCTAGGTGGCAAAGCAAAACAGCGAGTGCATTCCCATAATGTGACGTTTCCCCTAAGCGGCAGTGACATTTCCCGTAGTGGGGCGTTTCCCATGATGCGACAGTGACATTTCCCATAATGCAACGCGTGGCTTCACGAGTGGCGTCACAACGTTTCCCATAATGCGATGTTTCCCCTAATACGGCAGTGACGTTTCTCTTGATGTGACATTTCCCATAATGTGGCATGACATTTTTTATAATCCAATGTGCTGCTTCACAAGTGACATCACAACGTTTCCCATGATGTGACATTTACCATAATGCGACGGTGACGTTTCTTATAATGAAACGCACATTGCATTATGGGAAACGTCACTGTCGCGCTGCATTACGGGACACCGCTCAAGCCCAAGACGGGCACCTAAGAGCTGCGCTCTAAAATTAACGAAGATTGAGATTTTTTTCGGCACCTCAACTCCTTGAGAGTCACGTGCATTGTGATGTGAAAGTGGGACGCGTGGGGTTCCGGTGAAGCTCTCTCTCTAGAGCCATCATTGAGCAGCGAGAACTGACCTGCTCGTGACCACGTGCTTGCGCAGCGCATTCAACATGATGAAAGGAGGAAGGTCTCGTTTGGGTCCAGCCATCCCCATCCGGCTCTGCCCCCGTCCCCCTCTGGCTTCCAGCAGCTGTTCGTGGTAGCAAATAGAACTAACGGTTTTGTTGACCTTGGATAGATGGCGCCACTAAAACTCCGTTTAATAAAACTTTTGTCGATAACACCAGGTTTTTGACGCATTTATATTTATGTTGGAATGACAAGATCCTTAAAAAAATTGCCTTTTATTGAGCATGTATTTACACAACTTTCTATCTTTTTAAAAGTTCCCCATTGACGTCACGCCACATGTTTCTCATGGCTGCCGCTTGCAGCAGCAGGTCCGGAAATATTCTCATTTTTGCCTTGCGATTTCGCAGTGGTTCCTCGCGATTTCATAGCGGAATCGCAACTTAGATGTGTTTTCTGTCCTTTGTAACAAGACAAACAATGCCAAAAGTAGAAGATGCAAATTCTTTCAACGTTAAAATCGTTGCACTGCTCTTTTAAGCCTCACAAATTCTAGCAGTGTTCCAGGCCATTTTCTTAACGGTCTTGCATCACCGGGCACACGCTAACACATGAGGTTAACAAACCTTAAGGGCATTTGCGTAAAGCCTGCAGCAGGTAGGCCTTTCGAATGCCAGCAATATCCGAGAAGCTTCAATCATAATTCCAGCTTGGTTGGCCACACAGCCAGACTGTTTGGCATTGCTCTCCAGCCATTTGTCCGAATGCCATCATTTGTCATCACACAAATGTATTGGGAAGTAGGAAATGATTCTTCTCCAGCTATGATCTAGTGACTGGTTCAATGAATAGGAGACATCTCTTTTTTTTTTTTAGAGCAGCTACTCTGTGTTCTGCACCTGAATGCACTTTGGGTCATGATTTAGCTCTTGTTCCAAACTCCCTTGAACAAGCTCTAGCTGAGCTCCTTTGAGGTGAGGTCTAATATGATCATACACTCGAGTCCGGTTATATCACACCCGGGTATTTGGAATTATTGTTTATATCAAACAGTCCAAACATCCCCTTGAAAACCACATGTCGTAGTATAGGAGCGTTGTTTTTCTGTATCGAACTCCCAGAACTTCCATGGCGGGGACACTCAATATAGCGAACTAAGCACGCCGGCCCGTTGCTTCTCCCGTGGTCAGATTGCGCCCGTTGCGAGCACATACTGGCAGACCGCCAAGCCAGCATGCGCGCACAGGTAGAGTGCCTTCATATTCGTGCGTAGGGTGCCTTCGGACATGAAGGCACCCTACGCACGGAGATACGCAGCAAAAGAGCAATTGTAAAAAAAAAAGTAAAAAGTGGAGGATGGCAAAAACAAGGGGAAGGGCACGCGCGCGCAGGGAGGGTAGGGAGTGCCCGCTGTTGGAACGGCAGCGTGCGCTCTTTTCCCGAACACCGCTGTCGCTGCACGACTCCTTAACCCTAAAATAAAATAAGCTATCTTTGTCAAGTCGAGTGTGTCGACAACAACGGTTGAGTAATCACACTTTAAACGCCTTATCTTTGTTTACCTTTTTCTTTCACCGTTTTTGCTTTGCCCGTTTTTTTCCATGAACTTAAGGCCATGAATTTGCTTTGTTTACAGGATCCTTTGAATCATTGCTCGTGTTTATTTTCGCATCGCGTAATTAATTTGCAAGTATATCTTAATTGCGGCAATATTTTTCTTTTTAGTTTTGTATCGTTTGTCTTGAATGAAATCTGCGGATGAAAAATATGTAGTCAGACTTTTGTTTCATCGTTTCGCAGAAATTTAGGTTGACAGTCAAGCTACCTCAGTGTTTTTTTGTTTTTTTTTTTAGTGCACATCTTAGCTGAAGCAAATGTGCTGCGGGCAGAGTGGCTCTTTACAAGGTTCCCACTTTGCCATTCTGCTTGATGCTGGGATTCCACTGGAGCAGTTTTGTCGCCAAGAAATTGACTACCAAGTGGAAGTCCGTACCACAGCACATTATAAACAGTGGCGGCTTCTGGTGTCGGTTCTGACCGTAGCCCAATTCCTGCCCTCCAGCAGGTTTACGTAGGAGGTGACATCATGTGTTTTGTGTGATGACATCGCACTGCATTCTCAAATGATATGAAAAAGAGATGGAAACTAGGGGAACTTCGAACCGATTTTATTGGGCTGATAGTCCTCAGCACAGGCATCTTTGTAATTTCATATTGTGAAACGACTGTTGCTTGTTTTAGACCAATCCTACCTAGCTGTTACGTGGTTGCACTAGTTTGTTGCACCAGGCGCTTGTTCCTGGGTGCTGTAGTTGTGGCTCCTGGCCCTCTTCACCAAAATGTATAGATTGGATGTTGTCGTACAAAGTCTCAGTGTTTCTTCTTTATTTTTTTTATAGCTTAAAAAAACACTGGCAGGGTACTTATGCTCGTCGAGGTTTTTATTTGAACATGACCTATGAGTAGGCTCTATACTTTCCGGTTTTAACTGAAAAACACCAATAAACATCCGGTGTCAATAAACATACGGTGTCAAAAATACAGAATCGGCTAAAACCGAAAAACACCTGTAACAAGCACTTGCTCGAAAGCAAGTGCTTGTTTTTTTATCGAAAAATGTCCTGTATATTTCCCACTTTTAACCGAGAAACACGGACAAACATCCGCTGGTGACGGAAATAAAAATTGTTCAAGACAAAACACCGGTTTCTAAAAATTTTTTTCCTAGCAATGTTTTTTTGTTCTCTTTCACTGGAAAAGTCTTACGCAAACTTCCGTCAA